CTAAGTTAGAGACCATGCTTTTTCAACACATTACTATATACTGCAACATTTACAAAACTGTCTTACATAAAAGAGAATATCAACCATCACTATCATGGCTCACACATGCTGCATATAAAGTCAACTTTTTTAATATCAAGCTCATAATATTCATCTTTTTTATAGATAAGACCACTAAACTGGAGATCTGGTTTGCTGCATTTGTAGTATTCAATTCACACGTCGACGCTAAACTCAATTTTTTGTTACAAGAAGCATATTACCAATCATTATCTTTGCTGTTCAGCTCTTTTGAACTTGGTGACATTGATTCATCTGAAAAATGAATTCTATTTTTCGGTTTATATTTTGGACCACGCGTTTTTCGTTTTGGAAGTGAATTTGTGTCTAAGCCGAAATTGTTCTTCAGAATATCTAAACCGGATTTGTTGAGAACCATTACGGTATGATTATCATTAGGGTCTTTATTTTTACTTAAAAGACGTTTCACCACCTCTGTTTTGATTGTAGAGTAAATGCCTGTCTCTCAAAATCCGGAAATTAAAGCTTATAATTGCAAAGTGTTAACTTGTTTAAAAGCAAAGGCATGTTTTATTTTCCACTTTGAAGGATTACTCCTCCACGACTGGCTTAAAACTCTAAAAAGTTGAATGCGCAAAGATTTAAGAGGTACCCTCCAGTAAACTTTCAATTCTAGTTTGTCCACGATGCTTTTTTAGAATTTTATCTCCAATTTTTACGCTTTTATGGAGTGTTCCTAACGAAATGTTATAAGTTTTAGCTGTTTTCCTGATAGCAAATACGTGGTTTTTTACTTTATTTACTGCTGTTTGTAAGTCGTTTTAAGTGTAATTTGTATTGTAACCTCGGCTATTTTTCTTTCTTTTGTAATTTCGAGACAGTTCCTAAAATAAACAAAAAAAAAACTTAAATTATTGTTGAAAAAATTATTATTTTTAAATAAGTAAATAATCATATACAGGCAAGCTACACTCCTAATTTTGGTTACATTAGAACAATATGTACCTCAGCTTAATGTGTAGCAACTTTTATAGTGTTTCGATTCGCGCTTCTTAAGATATAGCTTGATAAGTGATAAGATAAATCAACTAACTGCCCGAACAACTTAACTCATGCTGTTTAAATACAAGAGAAATTCCAAAAAAATAAAAATACTTTGTTCAGCTTGAAATCAGCTTCTAAATATTATATTTAATGCAACTGAATCAAAATAACACAATATTAAGCTCATTGTGTGTATTGCCTTACTTTTTAGTAAACTTGGTACTAATGTTTAAGGTCCTTCTGCTGTTCATAGTCACCTCATTGTCGGTATATTAACAAAAAAACTACTATATCTTTATAAATATTCTATTTCACAATTTTTTTTGTTAAATGATACATATTTCAATGAGTATAATAATCACAGTTCATTTAGTTATTTTAATAGCTCTACTTAGTTTTAGTTAAAATGGAAATTTAGTCGGTCACATCTAGCGTTAGTTAAACCGGTCAAATCTAGCGTTAGGCTCAGCATATTGCTTTAAATGATTACTAAGATTTAAAAAGTGTTCCAAAAATCTTTATTCATATAAAGATGGTTTAAACTAAATTAAATATTTATTTAGTTTTTATAGCAGAAATTAATAAAGATATTATTGTATTAAGTTGTAAAAATATTTTTCAGTAATAATCCTTAGTTAGAATTTGTTGGAATCTTTTGTTATTAAAATTTGTATGAATTCAATATTAAAAAAGTTTGTTTCATAAATTTACATAAACTTGGTTCATTCAAAAAAAAGTCAACTCAGTTGTTTCTTTTTTTACGAAAGTTTTTGCGTAAGTTCAGGGCAACACGTACACAAATAACACGTTACACAAATAACGTTAAATTTTACGGCTTTTGTAACCTTAGATGAGCTAAGAAAGAGCTAGAAAAATTTGGTGAGTACATATACCCTTTGGTGAGTACATATACCCTTTGGTGAGTACATATACCCATATACAGTTGCAATCTAGTTTAGTTTTCTCAACCTTTAATCCTATTGCCATTATTAAACTCATTTTTAGAATTATTATTTGATAAGATAGTTTAAAAAAATACTGTGTTAAATTGTTAACTTAGCAGGACCAGCACTTTATTTGGCAGTTGGCCTTTCTGTAGAAGTTTGATCCAGCTACCGTTTTATCCTTCAAAAGGTAAGAGAACCACAACTGATACTTGGACGCTACTACTGTTATCATTTTTGTGGTCAATTCAAATGGATCTGTATCAGACACAAAGAAGGAAGGCATGGCTACACTTTTTACAAAAAATAAGTATAATTTTGATAGAAAGAACAAGTGAAGGTTTATTTTTTAGAAGAAAAATTTTTTCATGTTCACAGAGCCACCTTCACAAGTTGATTAAGTAGAGGAATATTGTGACTGGTATTTGATATACTTGAACATACTAAAAGGCATGTTAAGTGGTTTTTTTATCCTTCATCTAAATAGAAATTGAATCCAGATTTCATTTTTATTAAGCATATGTTTGAAACTTGGAAATCGTAAAAATTGATGCAGCAGTAAGAGCTGCAAAAGCTCTTCAAGAATTAGTGTTGCAGACATATGAATAAAATAAACTAAACAAAATGTTAATGGTTAGGAGTAAAATCGAAAAATCACATTCACACACTAAAGCAACGTATGAGAAAACCAAACAGGTGAAGATGATGTGGTTCAGGTTATAAAGGCTGAAAATGAGGCTTTCAAACATGCAGAAACCTAAATCTATACTTTAAAGTAATATACATTTTCTTACGTTTTAGTTTATTTGATTGATGTACAGAGAAAACATTGCAATATGGGAAGAGGGGAATAGAGGGAGAGGAAAGTTAGAGGAAAGAATTGTCCATGCATGCCTCTACCTATTTGGGTAAAGGTACACTAATATTTAATTTTTTTAATCAAAATTGCCAATGATTAGGAGGTTGCACAATTACTTCGTAATTTATAAATTAATTTAAATACATATTTGTATGTACCTCAGATCTTCAGAAAACTAAAACTTTGATTGATCATGGAATAGTTAGATCTATGTCCCTGCTGCAACAAAATCTTGTAGCAAAATTGTTATTTTAACAGGTAAAGACTAATTGAGATTCAGTTTTTTTTTTTAAAAAAAAAAACCTTAATGTTTTAACAAAATGATTTTGAGAATTTTTTTTAAGTTTTTGCGCTTCCTCTTCCTCTGTCCAGACTACTGTCCAGACTTACTTTATTAAAAAATGAAGTTGTAGCCTACTAATCCCATAAAGCTAGAGTGTCAATTTTATCAAGCACAATTTAAACTTCGTAATTTATAAATTAATTTAAATACATATTTGTATGTACCTCAGATCTTCAGAAAACTAAAACTTTGATTGATCATGGAATAGTTGCAACCATTGGAGAGAATAAGCTTTTTTTGGCTTTTTAGCTGTTGATTGATTTTGATTCAGAGCTTCTTGAATTTCGGCAAAAAAAAAAGATGTTGATTATGATGGTTCTCCTTATTTGCCTTTAGCGCAATCATATAATTTTGCTCGGAGACTATTTTCTTTTATTGCAAAAATTTGATAAAATAGTTTTGCATAAGAAACTTGATATCTTCTTTCGAAGCGTAAAAAAGTATGCAGTTTTTATTTTTTTAAAAATCGGATACCAACATAGTATTTTACAATTTTTGCAACTGGAGATTAACGCCTCTACAAATTTATAATTGAATCAGTTTCTAAAATCTTTAATTTGCTAAGTAACATTTCCATAACAATGTCGCATTCCAAAACTGTTGTATTTTGTTTTTTCAAGCGAACTGCAGCAGCAGCAATGACCAATAAATCAGACAATTATTTCAATTTAACCAAGTCAATGTTCCTTCTTGAAAGCAAAGGATTCATTCGGAACTCCGTCTCGTCGGATTTTTATCCGTTTTTTGGAGTTTCGGAGCATTAAAGTTTATTCTGTACATCAACAATCTTAAAGACATATTTGAACATTAGAGCAAACTAATGATAGTAAGAATGCTAGCATCGTTAAATCGGACCAAGCTCAATGCAGATATTAACACAGCACAGCTGTAACCATTCACAGCAATGGCTGACGAGTTTCAAAATCGAGAAGTGTAAAGTGATGAATATAGACCGAGGATATATATATCAACACAAAAAAATTTCATGCCGGTCTGCCACTTCCACTTTAAATTACTAATTTAGAAAGAGATTTAGGAACTCGAGATCTAGGAGATCTAGGAACTAGGAATTCTTATTTAAGAAGGCCTTTAACTTAACGCTTAATTTACAGCAGTTGCTGTGAACGCTGATCGATTCCTAGGTAGGTTAAAAAAATCTTTATGTAGTTATATTCACCATTTGGTAAAGATCTGTACATCACGTATACTTGACCTCACCTTGGATACGCCCTATCTAGATGTGGGCACCATGGCCATCGGGAGACATAGAAGCGCTGGAGAAAATCCATTTTGGCAAATCGTGTTGTGTTCCAGTGAAATAAACAGTAATCAACGCAACATCGTTAACATGTTTAAAATCATCTAAATAAATACTTAAGATAAAAAGAAGCATAAAAGGTTTTATAAAATATTCTTGATGTATGCTAAAGCAAGTGTTACAGATGTATGCTACATCTGTGTTACAGATGTGCAAGACTATCAAAGATACAGAGGTGCATGATGAAGAACAACCTTGTTGATTTTTTTTTATAGAAAAAGTAGCAAAAATTGTTTTTTATTCGAAAAATGCTTACCGATCATTGAAATAAACTATACTTTTTCTTCATAATACGTCTAGTATTATGAAGAACAAACTACTTTAGTTAGTTTCGAAAGAAAGTAGAAAGCTGTTGATAAACCTAGATAATATAAATATTTCCAAATTGCTCTAAAAAAAAAAAAAGATTTTTTTAAACATTTTTTTTAAACCAGGTTTTATTTCAGTCTGAATCAAAATAAATTTAATTAATTTATTTAAGATGTTCACGTTCATAATACTTGTATACCATTTAGCAAAATAAAATACATACACCAAGACAAAAATATTACACTTATGTCAAGACAAGAACTTGATAATTATAAAGTAAAATAATGTTTATGAATAATATTTTGTCAAAAAAACGAGTTATGAAAAATATTTAAAAAAAAAAACATATTTAAAACACAACTTTTGGAGGATACGCAAAAATAAAAATAATGCTAATTCCAATAAGTAGCAAAAACCCGGTAAGTAGAAGTTTATCAAGTGCGTAAGCAATATCTTCCCAATCACTACGATTACTATCTCTCAAACTAAAATTAATTAAATATTCGTTAATATGTTTTAGGTAAGTTATTTCATTTTTGTCACAGCTTTTTGTGATACCATGAATTTTTTTTAAATCCAAAAGATTTCGATCACGTTGAATGCTGTGAAACGTAGGACTGTGACTTGTGATAACATGACTGTTAGTAGACGTTCTTCTTTGTTTTTTGCAACCACTTTGTACTAAGTTCTGTTTATTTCGACAATATTTTGCTGCAATAATACGATATAAGTTTACAAAATGATTCTGTAAAAAATTGACTTTGAGCCATTTTGGTACAGGTACAATTTTTACACACATACAATAAATTAGACAGCTTGTTATTAACGCAAATCCGATTACAAACAATAATATTTTATAAAATCTAAAAGAACAAGAAACAATAACTTTAAGCTTTATATTTTTATTTAAAATTATTAATTATTTTAGGTAAATAACTAATAAGTATAATTATTTCTACTAACTGTAGGTAATAAAAGATTCTATTGACATAAATATTACTACTTACATTACAAGAAGAGGCAACGAATCAGAACTAGCAGGTACGGAGTCAGAAACAATTAGCACATAAAATAATAATGTAAGAAAGTTTCCCATAACCAAACTTGCTCGTTCTCCAGTAACTGGAGGAATTACAAAAGAAAAGCAAGACAGTAAAGCAATTAAAACTCCAGGAAGTATAATTTTAAACAAATAGAATTTCGCTCTTCGTTGAATGATTATTTCGTACGTTAAAGTAACAAAAGGATAAGGACAACAAGTAAAGTTTTCTAGACGCCGAGTTACATCAAAATCTAAAGTAAAGTAAGTTTATGATAATAGTTGCACAAATAATTTACTATTAGATAGTGCAGAAAGCAGATTGACTTATTACTAGGACAGTTTATATAGCTGATTTGTTTATATAAGATATTTTTTATATCATTGTCTAACTTTTTGCTATTGACAGACAGTTTTGTTTAATTTTTACAATTTTGAATTTAATAAACTTTTTGCTAATTATTCTAGTTATAGTAACTACTTAAGCACAATAGACTTTAATACACAATGTAACAAAAATAACAAAACTGTTTATTAAATAACAGTAATGTTGTAGTACAAAGTTTTAAATCCAATTTTTTAAAATCCCCAATAAAAATTTCATACTAAATCTTTATTCTTTAGTGAAAATAAGTATTTAAAATTTTTTATATAATATTAAAAATGTTTAATAAAAAGAAAAAGTTATATAAGAATTCAATTTCCCATTAAAAATTTAAATTCAATTTTTATTTTATATATATTTTAATGTACACCTAGTAGTACATTACTAGGTGTACCTTAAAATATCTACACCTAGTACATTTTATAAATTTAAAGTTAAATTATTCAAAAATATGTACACCTAGTACCTAGTACATTTAATAACTTTAAAGTTTAGAAATAAAATTTTAAAATAAAAATTTTTACTATGAGATAAAGTTTAATATGAAATTTTACTAAAAAATTTAATATAAAATTTTACTGAAAAATTTAATATGGTATTTTTACTTAAAATTAAAATAATTTATATATATATATATACATACATACTTTATAAATTTTATTATTTTTGCACGACGCAATTTAAAAGTGCGTCAAATAAAAATATAAAAAAATATACGACCTGTTACACTCATAAAAATTTATTGATTTCTAATTTATATTATCAGGGGCGATTCTAAGAATAAAATGAAAGAAACAATTAAAAAAAAAGGCATGTTTCAAAATTGGAGGGTAGTCCGGGACAGCCTCCAAACATGAGTCCGATACCACTCGATCATACCTCATTCACAAATACTAGTTTTAAAACCAGTGAATAGAGGTATTAAAGTAATTTCATTTATTAAATATTGTAAAAAGAAATGTATCTCTAATCAATAAAAAGTTACTAGTTTACATAAAAATTAGGTATATCAACACGTGAATCAAATAATCGGTGATATATCGCTCTTCTAGTGGTGAGAAACAATATCTTGCACTTCCAGACAATCGCAAAATTTATTATTTTATTTTTTTCCTCTTTTTATAATTCACAGACCTGATCTTTAACGAAATATGACGTAGTCGACAAAATATTATACAGACGCTATAATATTTTAAAATTGCCTTAACTACACCGAGTAATTTAAATTAAAACTCTTGACCAACTTTTGAAGTTTTTTTTTACTACATAGACACTATTTACTAAAAAAATTTCGCTAAATGCTAACAACATTAATGTCATAAGATGCCAAATGTTTACTGTTTACATTTCACAAAATAAGTTACAACTTAATTGAATAACTCTGCTGCAGATCCAATATAATAGCTTAAAATAAAAAGCAAAAACGACATGTACTAACTTTTTTTTATTTATGATAAAAATTTACACATTTTTTAAAATTAAATCTAATGAGCTTACCACTAATAAAAAACTGTCCATTTTCATCAAGGGTTGATAAATCTCCTCTGGAATTTTTAGGATATATATCAATAGCTCTGTAATCATTTGCCCAAGATCCAAAAATAAGTAGACATTTTTGTTCATCAAAAGGAAAATATTTTGTATCAATTTTGCAGCTACTTCTAAATAAAATTTAGTTATAACAGTGTACATACTTATTTACATAAAGTATGTTTTACTATATAAAGCTCACAATTTATGTTACATTTAAATTACACATGCAATATAGATACTGTACTGAATTATACGCTATACTTTCATTCATTTAATGATTTAAGAATTTATGAGTGATAAAATGTTGTTCTAACACCATACATTAAGATGTATTGTTTACGTATACACTTTTTTTGTTGTGATTGATGCTAGTGCTGAGCACAATAACTTAGTTTTTCTATTTTAGTAATTGAATTAGGATTCTAATTAGACTAAGGGGTTAACCATAAAATTTGTATTCTCATAAGGGTAGGGGTCTGCAATATACAAATAAAATACCGTTTCAAAGCGAGACAGTAAAACTATACTATGTAAATGTTGATATAAAGCACATAAAAATAACAACTCGATATCCGCAAGCAAACGGTATAGTAGAAAACTTTAAGATAGTAATAACAATTAAAACAATTCAATTTACGGAAAGAAATTAGAGATAACAACTCGATATCCGCAAGCAAACGGTATAGTAGAAAACTATAAGATAGTAATAACAATGATAACAATTCAATTTACGGAAAAAAAATTAGAGAGAGAAACTTCAAAGCTTTGAAATTATTTATGTTATTAAATTGAAAGATCAAAAAATTGTTAGAGGACGCCCGTGTAAAGAGTATACAAAAGTAAAAGAATGGTATGGAACATCATGCAAAGAAGTGAGATGAAACTAAGGTAAGAGATCAGGCTTTTGTAAAATACCGTAAACTGGGAGAAAAATTATATTCAAAATATTTAAAAGATATATATATAGTTAAAAAAAAAGCGAAGTTTAATCATTTTATTAGATCAAGAAGGAAACGAGTTGGCATGTATTAGAAAATCAGTTAATTAACAGACCAATAACTTTTTACTATTAGGTATACAGATTTGTTATATAAATGGTAATAGAAGCTTTCCCAAACAGGAGGAACTGCTAAGAGTTGGTAACTACGAAATACGTAAAATTATGACATTCGATTTGTAAGAACGTGTTTATGTGCAACGCATTATAACTCGTACTCTTTGGTGCTTAATACATTGGAGCAGACAGTTATAACTTTTCTCAAAGTTTATTAAGACTAAAGCTAAATGTAGAGCAGAGTTAGGCCGGCACATGGTACTGTATGAGTAATGTTTTAATAGGTATACTAAATGGTAAATTTGAGCATATCAAATTCATATCTGGTGCTAAGCAAATGTACTGAACTTTTTTCTAAGTGATGCCAATCAAACCGCAACCTCTTTAATTAGTTTTCTCTTCTTTATTATTACGCATCATTAATGTTTGCGTTGTTCTTAAAAAACTTTATAGCAAAAGAATCTTGGCACCAAAGACTATAGGTGGAATGCAAGAAGCGAACTTGAATCAAGCTCGACTTGAACTTTACATTGCAACCAATAGCGACAGAGCATGGTTTTTCCCCTCAAAAAATACTCTGCCGCTATTGGTTACAAAGTAAAGTTCAGGTCGAACTTGACTCAAGTTTGCTTCTTGAATTCCATCCTATATTTTTTTAAAAAGCTAATTAAAAAGTAAAAAAGTAAAAGTTACAATAATATTAGTTCAAATTTAAATAAGTAAATTGAGCTAAATAAAGTAATACCGCAAGATTATTGGTAACAACCAAACAACACTACCATCACTATTGATTGTAGCTTTTGTTTTTCCATAAATATCCAAACCTTGAAATTCTTCATCTGCACTAAAAATTTTCATAAAAAATAAGTTCACACTTTTAAACCTATGTTTATTAAAAATATGAGAATAAAAGTTTTTAATACAATCAAGTAGACAAATGAAAAAACTAGTACACAAGCATTTTTGTAAAAGACCTAATCATAAGGGAAAACGGAGCAAGATGGCAAACGGGGAAAGATGCTTTTTCAATTAACAGTTCAATAAAAAAAAATTTAAAATGTGTGGATACAAAACAATTTTTGTATCTTGAATTGTAAAACACCAATTGGCTTTTTTAAATATTGTTAACGTTTTATACGCATAAACGAAAAAGTCACATAGGCAATGAATTAGTATGATATAATAACCATACTGAAAAAGTATTATCGCTTTGGAACTGATAGTTCGCCGTCTTGTCTCCACTACAAACATTTCTTAAGCAATTTAGGCGTACAAATGTTTTTGTAAACAAATTAGCATATTACTTAAATTGTCACGTAAAAATACAATATAAATAAACATAGTTTGAATAGCTAAAACTATAATCTTTTTGTTGTATATAAACATTTATCTGTAAACATTTTTATAATAACTTACTTGTTGTAAAGAGTTATATCTGGTTTCCATATTCTATCTGTGCTGACTGTCACACTACTTATACCTTCCCAGTCACTAGCATTCCATTGAAAATGTTTCTCGTGCCAGTACTTAATTAAAAAAAAAATGTAAATCATTCATACTTCCATAGAACACTTTAAATAAAGATGCTTAATTTGCAAAAAAAAAAAATTATTGTACATACTTGTCTTACCCATACATTTAAATGAAGCACTTCGTTTTTTTCATTCTGTATTTAAAAAAAATATATATAACAACAATTAAATTAAATTTATGTGCTACTTTTCTCAAAAGTTCAGCAACTTAATTAAAATATGAATAATTTTTGAAAAACTAAAATAAACAGCAATTACCATATACTCATAAAAATTAAACCATAGTGTGTAATTTATTGACGTTATTTTGACCATAAAGCAAAACAGTTATTCCTAGATTAACAAAATTCAATTTTTAAGCCTAGCTTATGTAATGAAGCTGTCGCTGCTCGCAAAAACCTTATCATGTTTTTTAGTAATAATTTTTTTTAAGTTTTGGAAAAGATGAAGCTGTTGATGGCATTACACTGTAGTTAAAGAATTAAAGCTTAAAAATTTATTACTTATTTATTATCATTTATTACGAGATTTAACACTGGCTCTAGCCTAATACATTGCACAGTGGGAACATTCCATTGAAATAGGTGGCCAAAAATATAATGGTTGTATTTATGTGGAGGAAGGGAACGGGTGAGGGAAAGATGCACATTAGCGCTGAGGGAATCATTTATATATTTTTTATGTGATGATTTTGGACATTTTGTTTAAATAACAGACAATTTTCCAATGCTCCAAACTTGTCAAGTTCGCGTCTAAGTCAAAGTATAATATTTTTCAAAAAAATTACGGTGATTGAAGCCCCGGATCAAAAACACTCCAAAAAGTAAGCTCTTCTTCCCCCCAAATATGAGGGTAGTTAGTCTAAGCAAAAATTTTTGCTGTTATCTTATACTAAATTTAAATATATTAACAGGTTTTAACTTTCATCGAATAATATTTTATGCTCTGGAAGTTAGGATTTTTAAAAGTTTTCAACACCCTTATTTTTGGGAGGCTGAAAGCTTTATCATAGTTACTACAAGCTTTATCATAGTTACTACAGTTACATCTTTATCATAGTTACTACAGTTACATCTTTATCATAGTTACTACGGTTACATCTTTATCATAGTAACTACAGTTAAATCTTTATCATAGTTACTACAGTTACATCTTTATCATAGTTACTACAATTACATCTTTATCATAGTTACTACAGTTACATCTTTATCATAGTTACTACAGTTACATTTTTGTTATAGTTACTACAGTTACATCTTTATCATAGTTACTACAGTTACATCTTTATCATAGTTACTACAGTTACATCTTTATCATAGTTACTACAGTTACATCTTTATCATAGTTACTACAGTTACATCTTTATCATAGTTACTACAGTTACATCTTTCGGACTTTAACAGATTATTAAATGAGAATTAAAGTCTGTCGCTTTAATTCTAAACTAATGATAAATAATAATAATAAAAATAATAATAATTTTTTTTTAAACTAATAAATAAACTTTTGGGATGTTCTTGTTTCCAAACTCCAATGGTTTGAACCGAATCACTGCAATTTATTCTTCACGTCTAATTCTAGATTTTCGTCAACGTTGACAACATTTAAATATAATTCATCCAAGTTATTAGTTTCAACTGATTCTAAATCAGATAAATATTTTGCATCACTGCTATAAACTATTAGGAAACTTTAAACTTTTTCCATTTTTTTTTCCATCAGGCAAAATATTTTCTTACTTTTCAATATTTTAGTAAATGAGATTGAACAAATAAAGGGATCAGAGGCATATATACTCCGAACGAAAATTCTATATCAGTTTTGTCTCTCTCTCTCTCTCTCTCTCTCTCTCTCTCTATATATATATATATATATATATATATATATATATATATATATATATATATATATATATATATATATATATATATATATATATATATATATATATATATATATATATATATATATATATATATATATATATATATATTTTGCATGATGTTCACGATCAAATTTATAAATTCTGTGTCGATATTCAGCTTCCTTTACCATTAAACCAAAAGGAACTGGTAACTAACAATAAATTCCTCAGCATGTGCTAATACTTTGTTAACGGAAGCTGGGACCTAGGAACAAATCATATGTCTCGAACAATTACTTATATGTATCATTGTAGTGCTTATCAATTTTTTCCGAATAATTGGGTCTTTGCAATTGATTACAATTGGAATATTATATAATCTGATAATAATTTATTTGTCAATTTCCAAAATTTTGCTGAGTAAAAGAGGGTCAGAAAAAACTTGTTGGTAAATTTCCGGTATTCTGATTTCCGGTTCCTGATCCGCGAGCTCTTGGTTCATCAACTTTCAAACCAAATTTTTCAAACACCTATCATAAATGATTTTTTTCTCAAAGGGCAAAACTATAGTTGATATAAAATACTTATGTCCTGCAAGGTAAATTTTAACAGGATACAAATTAGGAATTTCTTTTTCAATTTCCTTCTTAATTTTTAATATCACTTTTTTATTTTCCTTTATATACTCCAGCATATTTGGTCTACAGAATCTTATACTCTGAGACATGTTTTAATCTTATTGTATATATAGTCAAAGAAGGGGATGTTGCTGTAACTAATAGATCCAAATCTTGAAGGTTAATTTGATTGGAAGTGTTGAAATGTTGATGGTATTTTGAGTGACTTAATTTTCCGTCCATATCTCAACTATTAACTAATATTAATTCATCAAAGCCTTTTTTTTTATCATTCAAATGTTTTAAAATTTCCTTTTCCATAAGATCCTGTAGTTTAATTTTGTTTCAGTAACTTCAATGGATGCTTTTAAAGATGAAAACTCGTTTTTTCCTATCGGAAATTACTCGATAAGATAAAAATCTGCATGGTGCTTCTTTATGAGCATTTTCATAAATAACTTTTGAAAGTTTGTTGTCCAAAAGATATGCAAAAGCTTCTTCAGACGTCATACTCTCTTGCAACGTGGTTAGCTGAGTGTAAAGCAATAACGATTCGTGTTGCTTAATTTATACGTGACTTAAATTTAGTGATTTGACTTAAGTCACGTTTGTTAAATGCTGTTCTTTGTACCACTAACAATACTTTTTTGACGGATTCCGTTTTTGAATCAAATGATATATTTGTCATCAGTCGTCTTTTGGTGCGAGAACTAGTTTCATCAAATCTGCAGTATATTAATAATGCTTTGTTTAGTACCTCAAATTAAAGCATTTTATAAAAACATGAAGCTAATGTTTAACCTAATAAGGTTAGACAAGGTAATTTTGTTTTTGTAGCAGTATTTTTTTTGTTGCTTTGGACTATTGTAATTAATCCACTTTTTATCGCCCGTAATAACCCAATGCAAAAATAACTCCTTTTTATACTGTTCGAGCATCATTTTTGACATGCAAAGTTAATGATTAACCATAGTCTACCTCTTTTTGCTGAAGTTTTTTATTTTTTAAAAAAGTATCAATTTTTCAAATTTATTTAGCACCCAAGAACGCGGATGATCGCAGACACACCTCTCAGGGTAGTTTTAACTAAAAAAAATGAATGAGATCGATAAAAAAAAGAAAAAAGAAATCACTTTTAAAATAATTTACTTACACATAATATATTAACTTACACATAATATATTAACTTACACATAATATAATATTACTTACCAAAATCTGCTTTTCCAATACTTTTGTCTAATTTTCTTATGTTATATATATAAATATATAAATATATATATATATAACTACAAAAAAAAAAAAATAATAAAAAAAAAAGTAATATTTTATTCCAGTAGTGACAGTAGTGAATATTGCTTATATGGCAAGCAATTTGCAATTGCGGAAAAAAGTATAGATTTTGTGATATCATCAATTTTGACATCATAAATTTATATTCAATCACGTGTCTTTAAAAGCGGCTTTTAGAACTCATTCTCTCGCACGCTGGACTTTTATTTTGGCCTCACTTAGCTACATGCCACTACCCTAAGAAAAAAAAAGTTGTTATAAAATAAAAAGGATTAGTTTTGCACCACAATCGCTCAGTTCACCGAAGTCCACAATCCCAGCCTATAAAAATATTGGGGTTTTAGCAAATGATATTTTTTTAAAACAAACAAAACTATTAGTTCAGTATAAATTTTGCTGAAGACATCGCCAAACGTTAGCATAAAAGTGACAATAACACTTATGAAAAGGTGACTAGGCAACATCAGCAGTAACATACGATTTTTATTTATATTTAAAGACAAATTTTAAAACTAGAAGAATTTTATAATCTTTAACTTTTTAACTTTAAATAAAACCAAAAAAATTTTGTCTCATTTAATGTTAAAAGTGTCATAAGAAAACTAGACAAAAGTATTGGTAAAGCAGATTTTGGTAAAGTTTTCTGTATCTTTCCTTCACGTTTTTTTTCACTCAGTAAGTATTAACCATGAAAAAAACCAAAAACAAAAAAAGAGGAAAAAATTATTTTTAATAATGTTTTAAGGGAATAAAAATAATAAGCATAAGTAACATACTAAATAAAAATAAGTAACATAATAAATAAAAATAAGTAACATTAATACGAGTTCTCTCAATACTATTGTTAATTTTTTTGAAATTTTCGCTGGATTATAGTTACCAGCATCATCAGCTATATATGCAAATTTTTATATAATAAAAATTTGCAATCAACTTGAGCTAAACTTCGTGCAGTGTTTGATAGAGGGGAAAAAAATAACGGTAAAACGTTGCTACGATGACGTAAGAGAAAATATAGCGGCAATTTTGAACCATTCTTTTGAATTCTGGAATATCAGAGAACAAAGACTGGTATTTACTAAGTTGATGAACGAAAACATCCCAAGAAAAATTTAAATTTTTTACACTGAAAGTATAAACTATTAGTTTTATACAATTTGTTTTTTTACCTGTAATTTGGGTGTTAAAAAGAATAAATAAATAATATCGTAATTAAAAATTACAATTATGACCGTTATAATAAATTACAATTAAACTTTGACGTCAGCGTTAGAACGGCTTCTTTGACGCAAGAATGTAAGAAATGGAGTCCAAAATTTAGTTTTAACGTATTGTCCGTTATCTAAGTTTATTCCACCAT